CTTGGCTCGCGGGCGGGGGAGGGGGAATGAGTCGAAAATGATCTGCCTCAGTAGTTGATGGGCTGTGAAACAGAAGGAGATGGAGGAGGAGGAGAAGGAGAAGAAGGGGGGGGGGAGGCAAGCACCCCGTCGCTCCGTGTCACCGGGCCACTTCCTGAGAGAGGTCTGGGGCTGCGAGGGGGACACGTGCGACTATGACGACGACCCCCTCCCCCCCTCTCTCTCTCTCTCTCTCTCTCACACACACACACACACACACACACACACATACGCGCGCGCACACATACACATTCTCTCTCTGTCTCCAGATCTCTCTCCCTCCCGTCCCCAACAGCGCCTGCCACCTGCCCGTCCCGCTGGACACCGGAGCGCGCCGGGCTTGCCTACCCTGTCCAGCGCAGGCGCGCGGGGGGCACTCGCCGCGTCGGCCGGGCCCGTGCCGGTACGGCTACGGCGCACCACTGCAAGGAACCGAGCGCGCTCGCGCGCGTGCGTGTGCGTGCGTGCGCACGAGCGCCCCTTCACCTGCGATAAATGAGTTGTATCAGAGGAAACGGTATTTATAGTGACATGTCGGGTAGGGAGAGGGGGTGGCAGTAGCGCCAGCGGCCCGCACGCTCCGCCGTGGACACAATCCCCCCCCCCCTCCCGGCTTCCCGTCATTCCTTCCCGTATTCCCGCCGAGCTTATTCACCTCCGCGACCACGTCGTGTCCGATCCGGGCGGCCCCTTTTCTCAGACCAGGACGGCGACAGCGGCCGACAGCGACCGCAGGGCGCAGCGAGCGGCGGCGCAACGTCCACATCAATTCAGAGCTTCCTCTAATAGTGCGCGCGGCAGGGCGGCAGGGCGGCAGGGCGGCAGGGCGGCAGGGCGGCAGGGTGGCAGGGCGACAGGACGGCAGGGCGGCAGGGCGACCGGGCGACCGGGCGGCTGGGCGGCTGGGCTGGGCGGTGGCCCCGGTGGAGGCGACAGATCTGCACCGCGCCCCGCCACCGCCCCTGGAACAAGAGTCCGCAGCGGAAGCGGTGGTCGCCGATGACGGCCCCTGGTGTGCTGCCGCGCTGCCGCGGTGCGAATGCTCCGAGGCGATCGGGCACCGATGCGTTGCACGGCGGAGATCAAAGCCGAGGCCTTCGCACCTCGCGGGTCTAGCGTCTCTGGCGCGGCGGGGCCCTGCTCGCCACGCCACGCCACGCTACACCGCGCGGGAGGCTAACAGCCAATTAGAAGGCGCTCCCTGGCCGTTCATCAAAGACCCCCGCCCCGCGTCGCATCGCATCGCTGGCAGGCCGCCGGAAAAGGGAGCCCCAAGGCGCCCCGAAGGAGAACGAAAAATGTCTCCACGGGTTCGCGGTGATGATCTAACTGCAGTGACATCGTATTGGCATGGTCTTGACGTAGTACATACAGGGTGGTCCACTGACTCCTTCCTTTATTTTGCTTGTTCTGTATCGGATGCAGGAGTGCGACAGGGTTGCATACCCGCACGAGGCGGTGAGCGCCCGTACGCCTGCCTGCATGCGGTACAGTATAAGGAAAATAAGGGAAGGGGTGGCTACTCTGTATCCTCGGACAGTCGGAACTCAGTGGCTGCCTTGGCCATGTGGATACGGTCACGACGAATACCGTTCGAAGTGATTGCTCGTTTACAGCCAATAACAGCTGCAGCATTTTGCCGAATACCTACCGGTGATGGGCGTGAACCTCTGGAGGGAGTCGGCGAAGGAGACGAGGCCGTTGAGGTTGACGCCGCGCTCCGAGAGGTAGAGGGGCGCGGTGGCCTGCAAGCAAAACGGGCAACAGACAGAATGAGCTTTTCGTTTCACAACTCTGCGACACGCGGGCGCGCCGGTGGGGCGCCGAGGGCTTTCAGACACGCGACATCGCTTCCTCTAAATGCAGTCGTAAAGAGGCAGCAGACCGCGGGCGCCGGGCCGGGCGGTAGGACTCGAGATGAAGTAGCTCCTTCGGGCGGGGGAGTCGTAAGTGCACGCGACATTGTTCAGACGCTCCCAAAACATTTGATGATTATGCGTGGATCTGGACGTCGCTATGGTCCATCTACATCGACTCGTTCAGCGAGGAGCGGCGCAGCGCTGTCGCCTGTCGTCGCACCGCCCCGCACGTCCGTCAGCGCGGGCTTATTAGGGGGGCGGCGGTGCAAGCAGCCAGAGAGAGGGAGGGGGGAGAGAGGGGGGAGAGAGGGTAGGAGGGAGCACTGCCTTTCACCACCCTTGTCGCGTCGGGGGCCCGTCGCGCTCATTTGCAGATCGGACGCCGTAATGGAGCGAAAAGTTCCTCACTTTGAAAAACAGCAAGGGGGGAGGGGGAGGAGACACGTGGACAAATCGAGGGGAACAGGGGGAGGGGGGCACTTACATAAGTTGTAGGTCTAAACATAGGCTACTTTGCGGAGCGCACCCGTGTCCGGATCAGCAGAGGGGACAACCACAGTGGAATGTGTGTAATGGCAGCAGCGCTTGGAAATCAAAGTAGCATGGTAAATACGGTAGAGCAGCTCAAACACGACATGCGTGTTTGAAGCGGGGCGGCGGGGCGGCG